CAGTCCCGTCCTGATCACCCCACGCCGGCTCCCACCCTCACACACCAGCACACAGGGCCTTCTCCCCTGCCTGTAGCTCTTTTCAGATTACTCAGCCTTTCTTGGACCTTCTCTCATTTATTTTATTTTTTTTTTTAAGATTTTATTTATTTATTTGACAGAGAAAGAGAGACAGCGAGAGAGGGAACACAAGCCGGGGGAGTGGGAGAGGGAGCAGCAGGCCTCCCGCCGAGCAGGGAGCCGGATGCGGGGCTCGATCCCAGGACCCCGGGACCATGACCTGAGTGGAAGGCAGACCCTTAACGACTGAGCCACCCAGGCGCCCCACCTTCTCTCATTTAATCCAAAGTCTGCCACTTGCCAGCTCAGTGGCCTCTCCTCTGTTTTGTCATCTATAAAATGGGGATCAGAATGATACATGCCTTACAGGGATGCTCTGTGGGTTAAATGTGATAATGCACGGGAGGACTCAGCCCTAGGCCTGGTGCATAGTTAGTGCTCAGTCGATGTTGGCGATCACTCCAATGAGGACGTTTCTGGTCACATGTGGCCGGGGGCGGGGATTAACCCTCTCCTCTCTGCCTCCCGAATCCTGCCGGTTCTCTAAGAACCCTGAGGCCTGAGCCCTGGCATGTCTGACTGGGGAGGATGAGGTAGGTGGCTTCCTTCCAGAGCCTCCCTTCCTTCTGGTCTTGACCCAGGGCCCCAGTCATGTTCAGGGCCTGGAACATCACAGCAAGCCTTGTTGACACAGGCCTGGCACTGGCCCTTTGTCTGTTCAGCCTGCAGGAAAAGCAGGGGAAGAGAACCTTACCTAGAGAGGGACTTCTGCTCCTGCCCCTTTTTGCACTCCCAAGCGCCTCCTGTTTCCAGTTCCCCTTGGGCTCAAGGGGCAGCAGGAAAGGGGGATGGGAGTCCTGCCTCTTCTCCCCTCCCACGCCCCAACCTCACTGAGATTTGTAGTGCTGGGTCTTTGATCAGCTGAGGGCATTGATTTAGGGGATGCAAATGAGGAGGCTGTCTGCTGGAGGAAGAGAGTCTTCTCGGAAGGGGGCAGATAGGTCTCAGAGAATTCTCAACGAGCCTTGCTGTGGCTGGCTTGGCAGGAGCCAGGGAGGAGGCCAGCACAGCCCCGGAAGGGCAGGGAGGCAAATCGCAGGAGAGGGGCGAGCAAGTAGGGCCGTCACCCTCTGCCCAGGTCCAGGGAGGCAGGGGCGACCTAGTGGCCTAGAGGGGAGGGGAAGGGACCAGCTGAGGAGTCTGTTAATCCTACTTCCGCTGGGCCCCCTGGCTTCACAGGCCCTGCAAGGTACAGTGATTGGTGGACGAGGAAAGGGTGCTTGACCTGCAGGCTGCAGGCTGAGTCCACGGGGGAGGGGGGGAGAGGCACATGGGGAGACCAAGGGCAGGGAGCCCCAGACAGGCAGTGTGGGGCGGAGAGGCCCTGCCCCGCACTCACTGGGCAGGCAATGGGACAAGTTGAGGCTGAAGCTCTTGCCAGACGCCTCCAGCCGAAGGAGGCAAGCATGGGCAGGGCAGGCCCCAGACAGCCCGTCCCCGGGGCCACAGAGACACGGGCAGTCAGGCCTCCGTGCTGAGAAGGTGGAAGGAAGAGAGGCCAAGAGCATCTGTTGGCCCTTTCTGAGGGGGTCTGCCCCCTGCCTCTGGACTTGACTGCCACCCCAGGAATGGAGGAGGAGAGGTGTGGCACTTAAGCCTCAAGCCTCCAAATTGACTCAAACCTGCCCCAGGGCACCAAATAATCGCAGTGTTCTGTGAATCACTCCACACGCCCCAATTGCAAGAATCCCTGCCATCCCAGGGCCGGGCATCAGCCAAGGCCCAGACAGGTCGTCGTGATGTCAGAACTTGAGGAAATGTCTGGATTCCTCACTCCTTCAAAGTCCTCAATTGCCTCTAGTTCCAAAGGTCAGGCCCGGGTGCTTGGCTCTGGACAGGATCTGCCCAGGGTGCCCCACCATCCGTTCCCCATCCCAAGGTTCCCCCACCCCATAGCTCCCCTCTGAGCAGGGTGAAGGGGAAGCGGATGTTAATTTGCTCATCTTTGCTAATTTGAAAAGGAGCATAAACAGCAGAGCTCAGTTGCAGTGCTCTGCCGAGGGTGTAGTTTAGGTCCAATTATGTGCTATTAGTGCATTTGCTCTTTGTTCCCATGGCATATTAATTGCAGATCTAGTATTGTGGCAATTAACACAATTATGGGCTCTCTCTTCCGGCAGGCCAGAATCCACATGCTTTCAGCCAAGGAACTGGGCTGGTGAGATGGAGAGAGGTGCCCACTGGGGAAAATGCCCACTGTTATGGGTTGGATGGTGTCCCCCGCCCCCCCACCCCGAGGCCTCCTCTGGCAAAAACCAGATGCTGAAGTCCTAATCCCCATTACTTGGGAATGTGACCTTCTTTGGAGGCAGGGTCTTTACGGACATCATCTGAGTTAAAATGAGGTCACTGGGGTGGACCTAATCCAATATGACTGGAGTCCTCATAAAAAGGGGAAATTTAGCCACATTGAGGGAAGATAATATGAAGAGACAAGGGAGAAGCCGAGGAGAGAGGCCTAGAGCACGTTCTCCTGCACGGCCCTTGGAAGGAGCCAACCCTGCTCACACCTTGATTTTGGATTTCTGGCCTCCAGAACGTGAGACGGTACCTTTCCTTTGGTGAAGCACCTGCAGGGTTTCATTGAGGCAGCCCGAGGAAACTCATAGACCCACTCTGCTCCAGGCAGAGCACCCCCCTGGCAGGCGGTGCAGGGGCAGGGGGACAAGGAGAGGGAACATCAGCATTGCTGTCTGCTCAGAAGTCTCAAGAAGGGATCAGCAGGGCTAGTCAGCACTTCCCTTCCACCAGATACCTGTTCCCAGGGCTTGCCACCCATCAGTGTCACCTCTGTTCTCCTGGCCCCTGGGCCTTCATTCTTCACGGTACTCCTGCTAGAGCTCCTCCTCCCCTTGGAGACCGTCTCTAACCAGTCACCAGCTTGGCCAGTCTTGGATGAGTCACTTTCTTTTCCTTTGGCGTCCCCTTACCTTGTAAGGTAAACAGCGTATGTTATTTTCCAGGTTAAGCCAGTTGTAATGGTCAGGTAGCCGCACAGCGCTTTGCAGCTTAGGAGAGACTTACCAAAGGTCTGTTCTCCTTCCACACTTACAACAACCCTGCAGGGGTTAGAATTCCCCCTTATTTTACAGGTGGGGAAGCTGAGGCTTGGAGAATTCAGACATAACCCGTAACAAACAGGACTCGGAACTTGAGTTCTGATTTTACACCTTGTACTCTTCCTCCACAAGGGCAGTTCTTATGGAATATTCTATGGAATACATAAGAAACTTATGAGTTCTGTGGTCAAAAAGATAAGGTAGAAGCTAGATGAAATGAATGTCTTCATTGCAGGACTTCTCAGAACCTTCACTATATTGTGACTCTCCAAACGAGTGTGTACAGCATGCATTTTCCAGCCTTCTTTTGCTTCTGTGGGACACCTGCCGTTTCGGACAGGGCCGCGTGACACCACAGCACCGCTCTAGGCTGGCAAAGCCAGGTCCGAATGGGGAAGAAGGAAGCTCTGATTTCAAGCTCAATGGGAGGGCTCTTCCCCCTGCTCTTCCTGTCCCCCATGGCAGGCTGGCTGAGCACCAGGGTTGGTGTCACCTTGGGGTTTCCTGATGCAGAAGTTCAGCCAGCACCAGAGCCCGATAGTGGACGGCTTGTCCCTGACCACCCAGCATTCTTCCCTTTAGGGACCACTGCTGCCCCCTGCACGTGGCTCTGGTGGCCTGCTCCCACGAGCTTACCTTCTAGCGGAGCAAGAAAGAAACAAGCAGATGTTTCACATAAAGAAAATAGAGCACGTCAGAGTAGAAAGCAAAATAGGGCGGGTCAGTTAAGATCCTCTGAGGGCGCGGGGCGCCTGGGTGGCTCCGTCGGTGAAGCGTCTGCCTCCGGCTCAGGTCATGATCCTGGGGTCCCTGGGATGGAGCCCCGAGTCGTCATCGGGCTCCCTGCTCAGCAGGGAGTCTGCCTCTCCCTCTCCCTCTGCTGTGCACGCTCTCTCTCTCTGTCAAATAAATAAATAAAATCTTTAAAAAAAGAAAAAAAGATCCTCTGGGGGGGTGTTATGGTCTGAATGTTCGTGTCCCCCCTAATTCACATGTTGAACACCCCGCAATGTGGTGGTGTTAGGAGGTGGGGCTTGGGGAGGGGATGAGGTCATGGGGGTGGAGCGCCATGAGCGGGGGTGGTGCCCTTGTAGAAGAGAGAGCCCCCAGGCCTCGCTTGGCCCTTCCATCGTGGGAGGACACGGAGGGAAGACAGAACCTGGAAGGTGGCTCTCACCAGAACCCGACCACACTGGCACCCTAATCTTGGACTTCCAGCCTCCGGAACTGCGAGGAATGAATTTCTGTTGTTTAGAAGCCACCCGGTGTGTGGGATTTTGTTATAGCAGCCCAAGGAGTCTAAGACAGGGGGTGACATTTAAGCTGACAGCTAAAAATTGAGGATTCAGGGCTGTGGGAAGAACAGTGCAGGCAGAGGGAAGACACGCACCAGCTCTGAGGGATGCGAGCCTGCAAGTGAGGAGGGGGGGCGGCGGTGGGAGAGGAGGTCAGAGGTCACCGGGAGCCAGGGCCCTGAGCCCCAGGGCCGCCCACAATAGGGAAGGGAGATTTGTATCCTGAGTGCAAAGGGCAGCCGCTGCCTTATAGAGTCCAGGGCAGGGACCGGGGCAGGAGGTGTTCCTGGTGTTTTCTCAGATCCCAGAAAAGCGAGCGGCGGCTCCTGGACACAGCCTTTCGGGGAAGCCGTGGAGCTGGGAGTGGACCAGAGTATTCTCAGGTCTGACAAGAGTCAGAAGCCACCCAGCTTCAGAGGCTCGAGATCCCTGAGGCAACGTAGTGGTCAGGAGAGGCCAGCTGATGGTGCGGACAGAGGCAGACCCAAGACCCCCAGGGCACAAAACCACACACTTCCTTGCTCACTTGCGGACCGGCTGGGGCTTTGCCAGGACTCAGGCGGTTGGGCAGCAGCCTCTGGAACATTCCCAAGAGGTTCTTCAAGCTTCTACCTGCACTGACCCATCGCTTACACCCATACTTCTTTAGCTAAAGCCGGTCAAGGTCACACTTACTTAAAGGGGGACAGGGGGACACAACCCTTCCACATGCCTGGAAGGTAGGGGGCCGGGAGGATCCAAGGAGCAGCGCTGAGGCCAGCAGCAACCCTGTTTTACAGCTGGGAAACTGAGGCTCAGGCACATGGAATAGAATCAACCAAGCTCAGGGGCCTGATGGTGGTCCCACGCTCTGTCTGCAGGGCCCCACCCCCTCCTCATCCCCCCAGCCTCCTCTGCTGGCAAATGACCTTGAGGAGCTCAATCTCCTAAGCCTCTCTGCCCTCCACACCCAGGCCTGAGCTTGTCCTCCTGGCTTCTCAGAGTGGGGACCGGCTACTTTTGTCTTTCCTTCCCCCAGGGACAAACGCTTGGGGCCCTGAGGAGATTACACAGCCTGGGGAGGGAGGGGGTGATAAGAGCAAGCCCATCCAGCACCAGGAGGAATGCTCCAGGCCAGGCAGATCGTGCTGTGCTGCTGGTTTTCCTGCAACCCCCAGGCTCCAGCCTGAGCTCCAGGACCTGCCCTGACACATCACTCCAAATGTTTTCTCCTTCTGAAGCAGCTTCCGGGGCCTCTCCGGCTGCCCTTTCTCGGTCTGGCTACTGGGGAGGAGCCAGGGACCAGCCAGGGCACACAGCAGGCCTCTGCCACCTCCTTGGCCTGACCCCAGCGTGAGCCGCATGGCGTGGCCGGGGGAAGGACGGCCCACGGGCGGTGCAGGAGTTCTGAGGGGCCCTCCTGACCAGCTCAGCTCCCTGCGGACAAGCCTCCTTGGTGACCAGGGTTTTCCTTCCCCGCGGGATGCTGCTCTGTTGCAGCCTACTTCCAGGTCAGTCAGGCCCAGTGGCCTTGGAGGCCGCAGGGCCAGGCTGCACCCTGTCATCCGTGCCTCCTCGCCTCGCCCGTGGCAGGTCCTCGGTCAGCAGTTCCTGACTGGCTCAGTGGTGCAGCTGGGCCGGGTTAACTTTCCGGGAGTCTGGAGAAGTCTGGGGGCCACCCAGATGGCCCAGGGCTCACCCGCCTCTGGAGCAAGCCGCATCAGCTGGGAAGACCTGTGAGAGCTACGAAGAAGGAAGGTTCCAGATAGAAACCTTGAGGGACCAGAGTCCAGGCTGCCCCTCCCAGGGAATGGCTTGTCTGTCGCCTAGGCAGCTCCGGATGGGGTGTGGGGGGTGAATCAGCCAGAGGAAAGTCCACAGACCACCTTTTCCTGGGATGCGGGACCACCACGCCCAGACAGATCCCCAAGGAACGAGCCAGCAGGAGCAGTGGGCTGACAAGGGTGGGTGGGCTGGGCTGTTGCTGAGGGAGTGGCCCCCCCGAGGCCAGAGAGACCCACGAGGCCGTTTGGAGCACTGCGGACGGGTGGGAGCATGTGTGGGGACAGCCAAGGGGGAGGCTGGCCGCCCCGGGGCCCTGTCTCACTGTCCCCTCCGCCAGGCCCCGTCTCCGCTCACAGCGGAGCCCCCCAGCACGCCCGGGGCCGGGGTGTGCTGCCCGGGCTCCCCAGGGTGGTCGGTGTTTTTCTTTCACACAAACCCAGGGACACATGAGGATGTGCAGCCTGTGGTAAACACAGAGCTATTTTTACCGCCTCATTGTTTCCTCTCGCCCTGTCCGAGCTCCCAGGCCAAGGGCCACCTCAGGCCTCCGTCCTCACAGCCCCCCCCTGGCTCCGGGGCCTGCCTGACCACCACAGGCTCTGCCCTGCCAGGCGCCCGCAGCGCAGCCACCAGCTCTCCCTCGGGGGCAGCCTCGGGGCCCGTCTGCAGAAGGGGGCCCTGAGGCCCCGAAGGGGCCCGGAGGGGAGCCTGCCCCATGACCACGGTGGGCCTCTCAGGCTGTCTTCCCCCCAACACCTGACTGTTTCCACCCACGGCCTGCTCAGAAGAAACCCCTGGAGCAGCCCAGCCCCTGCCTCGGGGGAGGTTGAAATTGGGACCACCCCCCCACCCCCGCCCCCAGTCCCCAGGGTTTGAGCTGCTGGGTCCTGGAGACAAAAAGGAGGAGCCTGGCCTTCAGTCAGCCTTGTGGTTGTGAAATCCTCCCCAGCCGGTACACCCCTATTGCGTGTCGGGGTGTGTGTTGGGGGGCGGGGGGGACAGGCCACTGCGGCTTCTCACACGCTGACTCCAGGCAGCACCCGAGAGCTAGTGCCGTTGCTATTCCCATGTTCCAGATTGGGAAGCAGGCTTGACAATGTTGAGTGAGGCGTCCCCATCCGACAGCTTGTAACTAGGGGCGCCTGGGCGGCTGGCTCTTGTCGGGTTAAGCGTCCGACACTCCATCTCTGCTCGGGTCTTGATCTCAAGGTCGTGAGAGGGAGCCTGGAGTCGGGCTCCACGCGGGAGAGAAACCTGGAGGTTTGTGAGGGGGAAGGGCATTCATCGGAGCAGTCCCTCGAGGGGGTCCCCCAGATGGACTTTGTCGCAAAAAAAAAAAAAAAAAAAGCCTGTAACTGTCAGAGGCTGAATCGGATCCCAGGTGTGTGCAGCTGAGCCCGGAGCCCAGGAGGGCCTCCCCTGACAGCAGCCACTGCCTGAGGCCTAGAGGGGCTTCATGCCACTCCTTGGGGTTCAGTGTGGGAAGGGTAACGTTAGGCCCTGGGGGCTGAGATCTGTGACCTGGGAGGGCCCGAGGGAGGGCAGCCAGGGAGGGCTGCTGGGGGCTCAGGGCTCAGGGCTCAGCGGCGCCCCTGTCCTCCGCCTGTTTGCTTGGAAGCAGAGCCGGCTGCAGTGGGAAGGAGCCTCTGGCTGTGATGGGGTTTTTTTTAACCACTTGATCATGATCAAGGATTTAATTTTATCCCCTTCTCTGGCTGGCTCTGATTCTATTTGGAGTTTGAGCACGAGCTAGTGAGCAGGAGGGTCCCTGGAAGACAGGACTTCCGCCCCCAGCCTCGGCAAGGCCCCTCCTTGCCTGTCCAGATAAGACAAGGTCCATCTGGGGGAGCCCCTCAGCCCCGCAGGTTCGCGCGAAGGCTGACGGATTGCTCCAATTAACGCCCTTCCCCCTCACAAAGCTGCTTAGCAGAGGGAGAGGTCTGGGGTGGGTAGGGGAGCAGAAGGTAGCTCTCCCTCAGCCTCTATCAAGGGATCATCTCAGCTCTCTCTTACTCATCAAAAAAGTGTTTAACAGGGGCGCCTGGGTGACTCAGTCGGTTACTCGTCGAACTCTTGATTTCAGCTCAGGTCATGATCTCAGGGTCGTGGGATCAGGCCCTGTGCTCAGTGGGGAGTCTGCTTGGGATTCTCTCCCTCCTTCTCCCTCAGCCCTTCCCCCTGCTCGCCCTCACATACTCTCTCTCTCTCTCACATAAATAAATAAATCTTAAAAAAAAAAAAAAAAAAAGAAAAGGCAGCATTTAACAAGTACCTGACTGGACCTGGGGCCACATTCCTCCCCTCCAGGAGCTGCACACAGGCCTTGCTCTGAATGACTTCAAAGTAGAGAGGATGAGGGGGGAGAGACACCATCACGTGACTTAATGACGCCCATATGTGCCGACCACCCACTGTGGACAGGTCTCTGCTAAACTGGTCATTTGCATTATATCATAATTCTCAGCAACAGCCTTATGGGATAGATGCTCTCGTTCCCATTTTTCCAATAAGTTGATTAATTTGCCCCAAGTCATGCAGCTGCCTAGTGGCAGGGCCAGTTCTCAGTCCCACCAGCCGGCCTCCAGAGGTCTCACTGTCTCCCCAGCCCCCACCTGCGTGGACAAAAAGATTTACACTGTGGGACTAAACAGTATAAACCAGGTCAAGAGACAACTGTGTTTATCTAGGGCTTTATTGGATTCATTTTTTGTGTAGAATCTGTCAAAGGTACAATGGACTTTATAATTATTCCCATTGTGCAGATGAGAAAATTAAGGCTGAGACCTGCCCAAGAGTGCAGAGGTCACAGTAGGGAGGCAGGGCTCCTAGCCTAGCCTGCAGTCCCCCAATTCTGAGCTCTTTCACTGACTCACGTGGGGACAGGGGTGCTTTGAGGCTGGACTGCCAGTTTTGGCCGGGGCTGTGAACAGGAAGAGGCAAGGAGAAGTGGAAGAGGAAACCATTCTAGAAAAACCAGCTTAGCCTGGAGAACTGCTGGGTCCCCACGTGAGGCATCAGAGTGGTGAAAGGTGAAGAGCAGGAGTTTCGGGCTGGCTCTGGGCAGCTGCTGGGGCACCGTGAGGTGGTGGGAGGCCAGCTTCACACCCAGGTTGGAAAGGCAGAGGCTTCACCCCAGAGGTAAGGGCTGGCCTGAGACCCAGCACCAGAGAAATATTTAACAACCTACAATAGCTGGACACAGCGGGACTTAGAGAACAAGGGCAAACCCCAGATTGGTCCTGGGGTCACAGAGAGGGCACTGGGCAACCCGGTGATTTAGGGTTTACTCTCCCCTACCCCCACCCCCATCAAAATAGTGGCTACAAGCATGGAATCTGGGCTCAGACAACCTGGGTCCAAGTTCTGACTGTAGCACAATCATCGTTAGCAAACTCTGTAACCCCCCATTCCCTCATCTGTAAAATGGGGATAATACCATACAGCGCTATGCACCTGCACACAGGTGGTACCCAACACACATTCCTTGGGTTATTAAGACGGGGACAAGGGGGCGCCTGGATGGCTCAGATGGTTAAGCATCTGCCTTCGGCTCAGGTCATGATCCCAGGGTCCTGGGATCGAGTCCCGCCTTGGGCTCCCTGCTCAGCGGGGAACCTGCTTCTCCCTCAGCCTCTCTCTCTCTCATGAATAACTAAATAAAATCTTAAAAAAAAAAAAAAAAAAAGACGGGGACAGGGTAGTTACCTGCATAAAAGATGTTTGTGAAAACCCACCTTCAAGGGCCAAGGCCAAAGGCCAAGGAGGTGGAAACTCTCAGAGGTCTTAGGTCTGAAGTCACCTCCCGGGGCTGTGTATGTGGGGCGGGGCTCCCACAGGTGTGCAAACAGGGAGGCCACCTGTTGCACACTGTGCACCTTCCCTGGGGACTCAGGAAGAGGCCCGGGCAGTGTGTAGCTCGGCTCCTATTAGCAGCTCCCCCTGGCCTGCTTGCCCGGCAGGACTGGCAGGTCTCTCTGGGAAACCATCCGTGAGGGAGCAGTTCCAAGGTCAAGGAGGAAAGTGAAGGCAAAGCATTGGCTGATATTCAACAAGCATTTCACTGCCCTTATTCTTTGAGGAGGCCTTTCTTTAAATTAGGACTAGCAGCCATGGTCACCCCCAAGCCCCCCCCCCTCAAATCTCCTAAACGCCCAGTTATTGCCCAAGAAAAGTCAGTTCCTTCATTGGACAGAGAAACGTTTTCTAAACATGGCCTCAGATCAGTCTGGGACTATTTCATCTTCTGGGAAAGGGGTGGGTGCCATGGGCAACAGGCAAATTGAGAGAGTGCCGCGGGCAGGCGGGGCAGGTGGGTAGTGGTGGGGTCCCCTGGGCCCCCCCACCCCGAGCTCCCAGCCCTGCAAGCTGGTTCCTGCCCCCACCACCGAACCAGGTGCCATGGAGGGATCGGTTTCCCTGCTACAAAGGGTCCCGTTCAAAGGGTGGAGCAGCCTGGATTCTCCCAGCTGCTAGGCACCTGCAGGGACAGGCAAAGCAGCCCTTCAGTCTCAACCACCCTCCCCTCAGGGCTGGGAAATACCAACAAAAGGCAGGGTGCCCTGACCCCCTTCTCAGCCCATCCCTGGCCTCCCCCAGACTCAGCCTGGCCCCCAGCTGGCCTCAGGCCTCAGCAGTCCCAGGGCCACCTGTTGTTGTCAATCCTGGCTGCATGCACCTGTACCTAGGAAGATGAACCCAGATGGTTGCCTGCTGTGTGGGCTGAGGGACCCTCAAAGACTCAGCGCTGTCCCCAGTGTTTTCCCTTGGCCTGCTGAGGTGTCCCAAGTCCTCCTTCTTGGTGGCCTAATTCCCATTAGTTAGACAACCCTCCCCCACCCCCGGCTCTAGTTCCAGGCTCGCTGCTGGGAGCTGGGCAGTGGGCACCAGAGCCAGCCAGCCCCTCCCTCTGCTCCGCAGCTCATCTTAGAGGAACAGATTGGCTGAGAGGTTAACTCCCCGACAGTGCAACTCAGAACACAAATAATTTACCCAACGTGAGCCCTTGATGCATCTTTGTGATGTTTGGCTAACATAACTATCTTTTTTTGTCTGTTTCTCAAGAACCATAAAGTCCTTCCTGGAAAGGGAAGGTACAGAGAAAGGCAGGCCAACTCAGTACAAAGATGAATGTAAGTTACCTGAAGGTCGAATGGGCTGTTTTGTGAGGTAGTGAGTCCCCCATCCTAGAGGGGATTCAAGCAAAGGCTGGATAAGCCTTTTTTAGAGCTATTTCAGAGGTGACACACACATCTGGCCACTGTGTGGGCTGCTAGGCAACCTCCAACAGCTCTCCCAACACTGAGGGAATGATGTCGATTATGCTATCCGTCCTCATATTCTATGACCCCCACAGTGTTTAGCACCCAGTGAAACTCTTTGAAAAGGAAATAGAAGCAGTGAGTCCATGTAAGCAGCAAAAAAAAAAAAAAAAAGACCTAAAATGGGATGATGAAGGGTAGAAATGAAAGATTCCAGAAAATGCTTCTAAAGCAAAAATTCCTAAAGGAGAAATGATTTCAGCTTCTAAACTTGAATATACAGCTGAACACCAATAAATCTCCCATTTCTGGGATGACGGAAGGACCGGATATTTTGTTTGGACTTCTGTTATAAGCAGCCCAAGACCACGGCCATCACACAGGATGCTGGGTGTCTAGGGTGGAAGGAAGCATCTTTCAGGGTGCTCGTGTCTGGTCAGGAGCATCGAGGGGCGAGGTCACCTCTGAAGACTACTGACCTCAGGCCAATCTAGGATGATATTTAGAATCTCCAGGTCAAAAAGCGGGCTCAGCCTTCTATGGACCTGTCAGCCGCACTAGGTACATCTCGGAATCCTTCCAAAGCCCAAGCTCCACTCCAGCTTGCAGACAATTAAACTAGCAAATGTGGTGTTTTTGACCCGCCTTGTGGTGCCTCCTTGAGGAGAGAGGGCCCCGCAGCAGAGCCCATGAGACGGGGAATCAGTGAGTGCACCCAACTCTGAGGGAGATAACTCAGCTCACACACCAAGCTATTAAAAATCTTTATTGTTAATTTTTTTTCTCCAACAGATATATTTTTAGTCGAAATATGGAGCCACAGCAACACCTTCACTTCTCCCGTTCAGACGACAAGACAGATCAGGGCCATTGCTGTTACAACAGGGACACCCGTGACCTTGACAAGGGCAGGCTGGGGCAGAGAACACACCCTTGGCCAGGACATGGCCGCTTTGTGGGAGCTACAGGTACAGAGAGGGCAAATGGCAACACGGCATTGGCACCTGGTGACAGATGTCATAACCTGGGGGGAGGGGGCTGGGAAAAAGCTCATCTTTCCCCAGGGCCTCAACTGGAGCTGCAGGACTCGGGACGGGGAGTGTGTGTGCGCACACACGGCCAGCTCTCCGGGAAGAAGACGCTCTCAGGTCCCTGCCGGAGTCCCCACGGTCCTCGTTCCTTGGGGATCGACAGTCTTTGCAGGGTAACCTAGCCAGGTCAGCTAACCAGGGCCAGGGGCCCGTGTGCGGAGGACGTCAGGGCCATCTATGCTGTGATACACAAGTCCTTCTGGAGCAAGGCCCAGACAATGCTCAGAGCACAGCATGAACCGCCCACATGGTCCCAGGGCAGCTCCTGTGATCCATGAAGCCCCAGCCCTGAGAGGGGGGAAAGTTGGCTCCGAGAGTCTTCTCCTGGATCTGGATACCTGGGGCAAAAAGGGGGCCTCAGCCATTTACTATCTCAGGAGGAGCGTGTAGGCTCCCCATCCCTGAGGCCTACATCTTTCTCCACCTCCCCACCCCCCGGGGTTCCACTCTGGTGAGAGACACAGGGAGAAGGGCAGGGGGAGGACTACCCCAAGGGAAGGGGGAGGACAGGTGGGTGAGACCCGGGGTTCTTCCAGCCCTTCACATTCGGCTGCTCGGCAATGTGTTTCCGGGGACCTGAGTTGAGGGCCAGCCTGGTGGGACCTGCTCAGCGAAGGCCCAGCCAGCTGTCTCAGATGGCACTTCATAAATAATGACTCCGTCCATTCCAGGCTGACATGGAGAGAGACCCTTCTGAAGGCGGTGCAGTGAGGGGCGCCGGCCTGGGATCCGAGAACTCCGGGTGCTGGCCAGGGCCTACTGCCCGGCGGCAGGCACCTTGGGAGCCTGGCTGGCGGAGGTCGGGGCTGGGGGCTTTAGAGCCAAAGGCCTCCCGGGCCTTGTGAGCCAAGCTTTGTGAGGGTTCCGGGCTCCTAGGCAGAGAGTTCTGCTCCACTGTGGGGTCTCACAGCCAGGAGCAGCTCCTGCCCTTTGCAGGAGGAGCCCCAGATGAGGCCTCAGGAAGTAGATCTGGAGGGAAGGGCTGAAAAGACAGAGCCGCCCAGTGCGGTGCTCCTGTGCTCGGCATGGGCAGGCTGGAGAGGCGCGCAATTCCATCCCCCCCGCCACCCAGCCCCGGGGAGCTGGCTGGTTGCCAACCCATGGAAGTGATGCGCATAAATCCTGCCTAATGGTCATCTCTAAGCTGCGGTCTGCGCAAACCTCTTTGGGGGCTCCGCTTTCCAGCTGTAGACCCTGCATGGGGTCTTGGGGGTCCCCTCACTGGGGAAGCCAGGTGTGGTCGTTAAAGCAAATGCACTCTCCAGGTGGGTCCCCGGCTGGAGAGGGACTGCTCGCGGCAGAGTGGGGGGGGGCAGCCCATGGCAACGGGAGTCCTGGACGAGCCAATGAGAACCCAAACACACGTATCAAAAACCAATCAAATGCAAACACAAACAAAACACGGGACAGCAGCAGCAAGCTCTTTGTGTAATAAATATTGCAAAGCGCAATTGGTTTCTTTCTTTCTTTTCTTTTTTTCTTTTCAAGTCAGATATAACAACCAACGTCCCGAACCCTGTTTTCAGCATTCAAAAGAGAGAAGCTGTTGCTCTCAGCAGAACACCTGCAGCCAATCAAAGAAAAAAACCGTTTCCCACTAGCCGGCCAATCAAAATCTTTTTCCAGTTTAAGCAGCCAATCGGGCCTCTTCACATTCCTAAAAAGTGACCTAAATAAAGCACCAGATCTCGGAGAGCTTCCTGGGAAGCCATATACCGAGGCGCAAATTAAAAAAAAAAGAAAAAGAAAAAGTCAGAAATAAAAATAAAAGGTTTCTGTTGGTCAAGATTTAAAAATAAAAGGGTTTCTTTCTGCAGCCAATCATGAGTCCGTCCCCTTAAGCCAATTGTAACTGCACCACCGGTGACTCCCTCGAGGCCAGCCCTGCTGAGTGACGGCGGGGTGGGGCGGGGTGGGGGTGTAGGGGCGGGGGAATCGGGAAGGTGATCTGCTGCCACTCAGCTGGCCGAGGTCCTCACAGATCTCTTGGCCCTTGCCAGCTTCCAGGGTGTTCCAGGGGGTTCACCGCTACTGCCTCCGGTCCTCCGTCTCCGACCTAGAAAACGCCATCACAACATCCTCGGCACCTGCAGACCAGGGGACAAGAACCGTTGGACGGGACAATGCAAGGCGGCTGGGGCCCGTTGCAGCGTTGGTCCGCCTAATGCGGTCCTCCCCAGTACCCAGTGCTTCCAAGGCAGCCCACCTCCTCTCTAGGCCTTTCTTGACAGCCTGGCCAGGGGACATGCCAGCAACCCTGCCGTAGGGTGGCAGGAGGGCCGTAGGGGTGAGGTTGGGAGGCTTGCTTAAGGCTATGGCACTGCAGGCCTGCATGACAAGAACCCAGGGCTGCTGTCTTAGCGCAGGGCTCTGCTCACATCCCTTGCTCCAAGGTCACCAAAGCCAGGGGTGCTGGGAACCTCTGTCTTTCTTCTCAAGGCTTGTGTCTTGATCCCTTTGGAGGTTCTTGCTCATTAGGACTTTTTTTTTTTACGATTTTATTTATTTATTTGACAGAGACACAGCGAGAGAGGGAACACAAGCAGGGGGAGTGGGAGAGGGAGAAGCAGGCATCCCGCGGAGCAGGGAGCCCGATGCGGGGCTCGATCCCAGGACCCTGGGATCATGACCTGAGCCGAAGGCAGCCACTTAACGATTGAGCCACCCAGGCGCCTCTTATTAGGACTTCTAATAGCCATCTCTCTTTGCCCAAATACAGCACCTGCTCAAAGGAGCATAGCCGGGCCCATTTCCAGCATGCAGTCGGCCTGCCTCCTACAGAGATAGATAATGGCCAGAATCTTTAGTATTGTTATTTTTAATCATAGATTTGAGATTCTGGTCCAGGCGCTCATGAAATCACTTCCTTTGTCTTGTTTTCCATAAGACAGGCTCTGACATGCAGCCAGAAAAGGCAAGAGGGAGGAGGGAAAGAGCTCAAAATACTGACCTGCTGCAGTCACCCAAGGCTGCTCGGGCAGGAAGAGGCTGCAGGGCAAGGCGAGCTGACCTGCAGGTCCCGCCCCCTCCTGGGCCCTGGCCCTCCCTGGGGCCTACTGTCTTCTCCCCTTTTCCTCTTTCTCTCTCTCTTTCTTTCTTTCCATAGTACTTGTTTTTTAAGAATTTTTTATTTTCATTTTTATGTCATCTCTACCCCCAGTGTGGGGCTCAAACTCACAACCCTGAGATCATGAGTCGCCCGCTCTACCGACTGAGCCAGCCAGGCGCCCCTCCCCCTTTTCTAACGGGTGGTTCTTCACCACGCCCTGAACAAGGATCAGTGGCCAGGGCCTTTGGGACATACTTCTCTTCCAGACCATTGGAGGGATTCTCCCCAGGAGGGGAGGATGGGAAGGGCAGACACAGGAAAGGCCACAGAAGAGGGGGCCAGTGTGCTTGGTGCATGGCAGAGTTTCAGGCATGGTGTTGGCCGGCGTCCTCCACACCACAGAGGAGCTCCCCCTCCTCCTTCCTAACCGTCCCACCACACCAAGGGCTGGCAGAGGCACCCAACTGTGGGTGCTGCAGGAGGAGAGCTCACCCACAAGGATGCAACATCACAGAGATGGGCCTTCACTCTGGCCACCAGGGCACCAAGGTCCTGCCAAGGGAACCATGCCCCCACTGGCACCCCAATCTGCCTTGAGGGGGTTCTGCTGTTACCAGCACAACTTCCATTCCTGAAAAGGCGAATAAGCATCTAGCAAGAAGCTCCAATTATCTGACTTCTTGGGATGGGGGCTCCTTTGCTTGGGAAGTCCTACGAATCCTTCCCCTTGTCTTCTTGGGAACATTCTGTTCTCGCCTCGGTCCTAGGACCATGAAATATCACTGCAGGCAGAATTTTCCTAGCAACCACAGAATCCAAGATGACATCATAGCCTGCAGAGCAGCTGAGCTGGTTACCTACCAGATGCCGGTTCTTCCTGGGCGCGCGCCGCCTGCCCAGCTCGCTACTCCAGAGGGGCCGGCGGGGGCTGGGGAAGGGGAGTGGTCAGCCATGAGCGGTGGCAGCCCACCTGCTTCTTTCCTTGCCTGCCTCGTGGGCTCTCTCGCAGGGACCTGAGGCCTCTCTGCTGAGCTGCAGGCACAGAAATAGCGTTGGCTACCCTAGGAGGGAATGGTGAGTCTGCAGAGGGAACAGACCAGGGGCTAGGACTTGCAACACGGCGGCCTGCCTGGCATGTGTACCGGGGTGACGCTCTGAGTTGGGGAAGGATGTGACCTCCTCAAGGTCACACAGGGACTCCGATGACTCCTATTTAGCAAGACACCTGAAACAGAAGATTTGCCAGAGTCCCACTGGTGCCACGGTGCTGGCTGGTCTCCCGGCCCCGGCTGGGGTGGGAAAATCGGCAGCTTCCATTTTTAGAGCCTCCCACTCTGCTGCTGGAGCCGGGTGCGGAAAGGGCCCACAGAGCTGCTGCCCATCCGGTGCCCTGTTCCATTCCCAAAGGACTTGCTGTTTTTCCCAGGCCTCACCAAGAGGGGACAGGCCCTGCCAGAACATTGTCTGACCTGTCCTTATCATCGGCTGGCCTGCACTCGTCATTCCACAAGGGCCTGACCGGGAACCGTGCAGGCCTCTAGGCAAGGATGTTGCTTTTCTCTCTCCTCTTCTCCATGAAATTTGGGCCAGCAGCCCAACAGGGAGGGCACGCTGCTCAGTTAGCTGCTGTAAATGGAGCTCTTAGACCTTTAGAGCTGGGGGCGTCAGGTTGGCCCCCGCGGCCCCTCCTGCTCCCTTAAAGTCCAGTATGTGGCAGATCCCTAGGGTGCTCTCCCTGCTGGCAATCACAAGGCTCAGAACAGGAAGGCCCAGCCCATGCCTCCAGGCTGTCGGCTAGTTTCCTATACCATTTTACAGATGAGGCTGTGTCCATCCCATTGTTAGCTCTGTTGGCACTGTCTGGACTCGGGCTCAGAGCTTCCGTCCATCCCTCCCCACCTGACGCAGGTGAGCACGGGAGGAGAGAAGCTGAGCAGCCTCTCCTGTTTAACACTCTCTGACATACCAAAAGATAAAGATGGCCAAAACCAGGTGAAGGCATCGCGAGAAAAGAGAACACACACCCCTCTCTCTTACGAATACAGATATTCATAATACCTGTGATATGCAAAAATACTCAACAAAGTTCTAGCAAACAATACAGCAATATACAAATAGGATTCCATACTCTGAACAAGTGAGACTTATCCCAGAAATGCAAGGGTGTTTTAACACCTGAAAAAAGAGACAAAAACCATACAATTGTCTGAACAGGCACAGAAAACACATCTGACAAAATCCAACACCCCTTCATGGAAACACGCTCAACACACTAGTAATGGAAGGGAGCTTCCTCAATCTGATAAAGAGCATTTACTAAAAATCCACAGCTGTTATCATACTTAATGGTGAAAGACTGGAAGCTCTCCCCATTCAAGATTAGGAAGAAGAAAAGGATGTCCACTCCTGCCATTTCCATTCAATGTTGTGTTGAAAGTTCAATTCAGTGCAATTGGGCAAGAAAGAAATAAAGGCATCCAAATTAGAAAGGGGAAGAAGTAAAACTCTATTTGCAGGTGACATGGACCTTGTATACAGAAAATCCTAAGGAATCCACTAAAAAACTATTAGAACAAATAAAGTTGCAGGATACCAGATCAATATACAAACACCATTGGTATTTCTATACCTTAGCGATGAATATCTGTAAATGAAATGAAGGAAACCATTTCATTTACAATAGCATCAAAAATAATAAAACACTTAGGAATAAATTTAACAAATGAAGTATGGAATTTGTACTCGGAAAAGTACAAAACATCACGGTTCAAAAACATCATAGGAAGAAATTTGACACAACTCCTATCAAAATCCCTGCTGCCTTTTTCGCAGAAATTGACAAGCTGGGGCGCCTGGGTGGCTCAGTTGGTTAAGCGACTGCCTTCGGCTCAGGTCGTGATCCTGGAGTCCCGGGATCGAGTCCCACATCGGGCTCCCTGCTCAGCAGGGAGTCTGCTTCTCCCTCTGACCCTCCTCCCTCTCGTGCTTTCTATCTCTCATTCTCTCTCTCAAATAAAAAAAAAAAAAGAAAGAAAGAAATTGACAAGCTGCTCCTAAAATTCGTAGGGAAATGCAAAGGATCCAGAACAGCCAAAATCATCTTGAGAAAGAAGAACAAAGTTGGACCCACACTTTGGGGATTTTACGTCTACTACAAAGCTACAGCAAACAAGACGTGGTGGGACTGGCGTAAGGAGAGACATGTAGGATGATGGAACAGAACAAAGAGTTCAGGAATAAACCCTCCCACTTAGGGTCAGTTAAGTTTTGACAAGGGTATCAAGACAATTGGGTGGGAAAGAAGTGAACAGATGGTTCTGGGACAACTGGATATTCACATGTCAAGGATGAAGTTGGACCCTTACCTTGCACCGTATACAGAAATTAACTCAAAATGCACCAAGGACCTACACATAAGTGCTAAGATTATAAAACTCTTACAAGAAAACACAGGGGTAAATCTTCATGACCTTGGGTTAGGAAATGATTTCTCAGATATGATACCCTAAGTGTAAGTGATAAAGGAAAAAAAATAAACTGGGCTTTCTCGAACCTAAAAACATTTATGCTTCAAAGGATACTACCGAAAAAGTGAAAAGGTGGGGGGCACCTGGCTGGCTCAGTTGGAAGAGCATGTGACTCTTGATCTCAGGGTGGTGAGTTCGAGCCCCACGTTGGGTTTAGAGACTACTTAAATAAACTTAAAAAAAAAAAAAAGGCTTTAAAAAACAAAATTAAAATAAATTATAATATATCTGTATGTAAGATATATAAGTCATATATCTGGTAGGGGACCAGTACCTAGAATATATAAACAACACAACGCGATAATAATAAAAAGTCAACTCAATTTTTAAAATGGGCAAAGAACTTGAATAGAGATTTCTCCAAAGATATAAGAATGGTCAGCAAACACACAAAAAGATGCTCAACATCATTAGTCACTGTGGAAATGCAAATCAAAGCTACAATGAGACACCAGTCCACACCCACTAGGATGGCTGGAATCAGAAAGTGACAATGACAGGAGTTAGGGAG